TGACTAAATTCACTCAGCATAATGACCTCCAGCTTCCTCCATGTTATGTTTCACATCTTCATCATTGTTCTTTATCATTGTGTAGTATTCCATTGTGTGGATATACCATAATTTGTTCATCCATTTGTCCGTTGGTGGGCACCTAGGTTGTTTCCATCTTTTGGTATTGTGAACAGTGCGGCAATGAACATGGGTGTGCATGTATCAATTCGTGTGATAGCTCTTATTTCTCTCCTAGAGATATGTTCCAAGAAGCAGGATAGCTGGATCATATGGTACTTCCATTTCTAGCTTTTTAAGGAAGTGCCAAATTGATTTCCAAAGTGGTTGTACCATCTGACATTCCCACCAACAGTGTATAAGTGTTCCAGTCTCTCCACAACCTCCCCAGCATTTATTATTTTGTGTTTTTTAGATTAATGCTAGCTTTGTTGGGGTGAGATGGTATCTCATTGTAGTTTTGATCTGCATTTCTCTAATGGCTAATGATCGTGAACATTTCTTCATGTGTCTGTTAGCCACCTGAATATCTTCTTTGGTGGAGTGCCTGTTCATATCCTTTGCCCATTTTTTAACTGGGTTATTTGTCTTTTTGTTGTTGAGGTTTTGCAGTATCTTGTAGATTTTAGAGATTAGACGCTGATCGTATTTGTCGTAGGCAAATTTTTTTTCCCAGTCTGTAGGTTGTTAAAGAACAGAAATTTATTATCTCAAGTTCTGGAAGCCACGAGTCTGAATTCAGGGTATTAGCAGGGCCATGCTCTGTGTCCACTCTAGGGGATGATGCTTCCTCGTCTCTCCCAGCTTCTGGCAGCCCCAGGTGTTTCTTGGTGTTCCTTGGCTTGTAGCTGTATCTTCACGTGGCATCTTCTCCCTGAATGACTCTGTTTTGGTGTCTGTTCTTCCCTTTTATAAAACACCACATATATGGGATCAGGACCCACTCTACTCTGGCGTAGCTTTGTTAACTGTTAACATCTTCAAAGAAGGATCTTATTTCCAAAGAAGGTCACATTCACAGGCACAGAGGTGAGGACTTCAACATATCTTTTGGAGGTCCACAATTTAATCCATAGCACTTATTATGGGTCAAACAGAGTGATAAGCATTTTATGCATTCTTTCATTTCATCCTCACAATAGCTAAATAGGGTTATTGCCGTTTTTACACATAAGAAAACCAGTGCCTGGAGAGGTTGAGTATCTGGCTCTGCTCCTAAGTGGTGGAAGTGGAATTTGAACCCAGGTCTGTATATCTCCAGAGTCCATGCTCTGGAGGCCCGTAAAATAAAGTTAACAAGCCTCAGAACAATTATCACTTTTCTAGCCTCCATTTCTTTGGACTTGCTGTTTCCTCAGCCTGCAATGCTCTAGTCCCAGATTTCTTTAAGACTGACTCATTCCCATTCTTTAGGCATTAACTCAAAATTCAGGTTTGCAGAGAGGCTTCTTCACTACACAACTCTAGGGGATGCTGTTCACGTAGGCGGTAACGCCAATGGTACTCCATTGGAATCGTGTATCACGGGAGCCCTGTCTCACTGACCATCGTAATGAGGTTCCTGTTGTCCTCCATCACCCCATCTGGTTTAATTCATTTCTTAGTACTTATCCTTATCTAAAATTAACTTTTATATAATTTATTTATTGTCAGTCTCTCCTAACAATATGTAAACCTCATAAGGACCTGCCTCATTTACTACTGTTTGCCAAACCCTTAATAGCAGGCTCATAAATTATTTGGAGCTCAATAAATTATTGGCTGAATGTTCTTAAATATGTTAAATTGACTCCCAATAATCCTTGCCTGAATCACAGAGCTGCTGTAGGATAAAGAGTTTCGAGACATCCTGGGTATTACGAAGACATTGATGTAGTGAGTTAGGATGCCAAACTAATTCTTAGAATTTCTGTGATTTAAATTTTATGACCATTTCAGCAACTTAGGACCCTCAGTGTCACTGACCAAACAGATATTTTACTTGACAAAAATTAGAAAGTTTCAGAATATCAAGTGTTGGGGAAGATATTGATCAACATATAATCACTTCTATTTCTGATGAGAGGTGTACATTGTTTTAACCACTTTGGAAACTAGCTAGATGTGTTCAAAATAAAGTCTTGTATTAATTCAAAAGAATAACCCAATCTATGATTTAGCAAATAATTTGCAAATTGGGGCAATGGTTCTCTCCTGCAAGAAGAAAATGTTCCCAGTGACTGGGGATTTTACAAAGTTTTTTTTTTTTTAATGAATACAAGTTTCCATGGTGACAAACCACTTAACAATTACTGATTAAGCATAAAAAAAAGTCTCCTGGAAAACCTGGCTATTTACATGATTTTAACTATGAGATTCTTTGCAGTTGAGTTGGGGGAGCACATAGCCTTTTTCATTAAATCACGAGGTAATGGGTTTGTTATTGAGCACACTCTTTAAAAAGGAAGAGACAAGTTAACACTGCTGCAAAATAGATTAGCAATTCCTGGTGAAAAACCAAGTTAACAGTTTTACAGTTCTGGGTCAGGCTTTTACTGTTAAATTTTAGGGTCCGTGGGTAACAGAAACCCCTTGAAATCACAGTAAGATGACTGTTTTTAATTTTATTTTGCAGATGTGAACTTGTAAAGTTGAGGGTTCACATTTCCTATGATTTAGCAATTCTCCTCCTAAGTAGATACCTATGAGAAACTCCTTTACTTGTACACAGCACATGACTAACTTCTTTTTTTCTTTAATGGAGATAATGATAGTATTGACCTCACAGTTTCCCAAAATAATGGTAGTACGGGAGGAGGGAACAAAAAGCATGGGCATTAAACAGACTGTGTTGGAATCCAAGCTGTATCACTCAGTAATCCCTGCAGTTGTGTGAACTGAGAACATTTTAAATTTTGCTCAGACTTAGTTTCCACATCTGAAAAATGAGACTGATAGTATCTACCTTGTAGGGTTGTGATCAGGATTAAGTAAATAATATATGTTAAATGCCATAGCAGACAGTCTGGCACACAGTATAAATGCACACACCCATTGAGACGATAATATTTCTCCAATTTAGATTAACAGTATTAATGTTAGACATTCTACATTACATCACAATTCTATTCTCTGACTAAAGCTACAGATCAGAAAAATTGAATTACACACACACACAAAGTTGTTAGCATGGTATGTCTATCCCACTAGTATGAATACACTGTGATAACCCACCACAAAGAAATGACTGAGGTACAGTATTCATATTTTATTTTGTAAATGTGTAGTAAGAAAGTAACCTGGTCATTCAGAATTCATTATATGAAATTAAGAAGAATTTAGCATTCTGACTCCCTAATTTGGCACTTTGAGGAATTTCCTCTATACACCAAACCCCAAAATGTACTCTTTTCTGGATCAAAAAAAGGGAAACATGCATATATACAAGTGAATCGAAAACCTACAACACCATCTGGTGATTTTGGTGAAAAATAATTCCCCCAAACAAGCAGCATGTCATGTTGTTAGAACCTGTTACACTAGAAAGCTAGTAGGAATTCAGGCCTAGAAGGTAATTTAAGAGTTCAAGATTTTATCACATATGGGCTAATTTCTAGAATACTTAGTTTAAAAAAGGGCACCTTCCAGTGAAGTCTTGTCAGGCTTGATTTTTGAGCTATACGTATATATACAAACTTTTCTGTTTTGACATTCAACACATTCAGGATTAATTTTAGAAAGCTGCTCTTGCTGATTTGTAGACTGAACGGCTCAGAAAGAGAGAATGGGGACCGCACAATTTTAAGTAGTACGCCCCCATCCACCTCTGCCTCCACCACAAGCGTTTTTTGTTTTGCTTTGTTTTTTCAACAAATGCCATAATTGAAAATACATGTTAAAAGTTGTTACTAAAGGCAGGATTTAAGAAAAATCATTTTTTGATGGCTTTTAAGCACTTGAACTTTCTTCAAAATGCTAGTTAACGACCTTTGGATGCTGCTTTAATTTGAAGCTAGGTGAAATTTAGATCCTCTATTAAACAATTCCATGTTAATTTTGGTGACAGTACATATTTAGTGTATGTAAAACTACTCTATCGACTCCCATGAAGAAGATTTTAACATGTTGCTGTTTTGACTAAAATAGCATTTCAACATCGTTCTGCCAACTAATTAAGATAAAAAAACAATGAATGAGAACTACAAATAGAAATCTAGTAAGGCAATTCTACCATGTAGGAAATTCTGTTTCCCAAATACTTTTTACACTGACATAATATTTTTTAAGACACGTTACCCGGTTCTTCCACAAATCAAACAGTATACGAAACTCAAATTAAGATATGTATGCACGGAGAAAAGATCCATATGTCCAAAGCCATCCACTGCATGGAAGTCTTGTTATTGCACTACTTCGCGTTGTTCTGGCTTTGGATACCCACAGGACACAGAAGGGCTGGGTGGACGTCGGTTTGCTTAGCATTCTAGTTCCTCCATGACTTCCATGACAATTGTCCGGGGCCCCGTCAGAATCAGATTGCTCACTGTCCGGTAGTCTACATGCAGCACATTGAGCCCATTTACAGACACGACAAACTGACAGACCTAAAGCAAAGACAGAGAAAGAACACCATATAGTTCTTGGTTTTTCACAGACCTTCCTTTACTAAAGATACTATATAGCTCTAAAGGGTAACTTCATCCTTAAAATAACCAACTCTATCCAGTTGACAATTCCAATTCAAGCATTCCCAACATACTACATTTTTTCTAGAAGGCAATATAATATAATGGAAAAAGCATTTGTTTTAGTGATATTCAGAACTGTGTTCAAATCCTACCTCAGCAACTTACTAGTTTAAGCTGGGTATTTAAGTTTCTGAGCTTTATTTCCTTCATCTCTAAAATAGAGATAATAATAATATACGTACCTACCTTACAAGATTGTTGTATGAATCAACTGAAGTAAAGTACATAAAGCTTCTACTACAGTGCTCTGAACCTATGGAGTAGTCAATTCAATTCCTGTGGTCACAGTGTTATGGCTGTTATTATTCATATGGACTTAATATATAGAAAGACCATATGGCAATGTAAATTGCATGTTTCCAGGACGGTTCTCACATATGTCTATTGTTCCTGGATGGTTATTAATAGTGCCTCCTTTCATTCTCCAACGTGTTCCAGTGAGATGATAAATCCTACACATTTCCTTATTTCCTATTCTTGTGGATGAGGGCAACAAAGGTCAACTTTTATACTTAGTGAGTGTTGGTTAAGGCTGTGGAAGGATAGGTAATTACAAGACAATAAACAGCATCGTTCAATAATGAGCAGCCACTCTGGATATGTCCTGGTGGGTCTGGTAATGGCCCACAGCTACTGCCCTACGTGGAGGTCCTTCTCTTGATGTTGGGAGTCAGGGGCTGGGTACTTTTAATTTTGCTACCACCAAAAAACACATTGTATCTCCATGTGTTTCTGAATAGGTGGACACTGGACACACAGAAAAATGGGGACACACAGATCTCCACTTGTCAGGGACAGGTACGTCTAATTGGTCAAACATAATAAACAGAATGTTTAAGTATGTACAGTGCCTGGCATATAGTAGGTACTTGTTGCAGGCAAAATAATGACCCCCTCCCCCAAAGATGCCCACGTTCTAATCCTGGAACTTGTGAATATGTTAGCTTATATGGTAAAAGAGAATTAAGGTTGCAGTTGGAATATAAAATAGGGAGACTAGCCTGGATTATACCAAAAAAAAAAAAAAAAAAACCAAACCCGTTGCCGTCAAGTCAGTTCTGACTCATGGAGACCCTATACCGGTGGGCCCAATATAATCACGAGGTTCCTTATAAGGAGACAAGAAGGTTAAAGACAGAAGTAGGAGGTGTGACAATGGAAACAAGAGGTTGGAGTGATGCAGAAATGGGCAACAAGTCAAGGAATGCAGGCTGCCTCTAAAAGTTCAAAAAGGACCAGATTCTCCCCAGAAGTCTCCAGAAGCAACATAGCCTTGCTGACACCTTGATTTTAAACTTCTGACCTCCAGAACTGAAAGAGAATAAATTTGGGTTTTTTTAAGCAATGAGTTTGTGGCTTTTTTGTTACAGCAGCCATAGGAAACCAATAAAGTCCTCAATAAATATTCGCAATTGAATTGAAGGAATGAACAAATGTGTAAGCAAAAAAGCAGAGTCAGGAATCTGCCTGAAGGGTTTTTTTGCTCCTTATAAATGATCCCTTCTCTTATTGGGCATATAAGAAAATAAAAAGGATGAACGAAAGAAGGAAGAAAGGAGAGAAGACGGGGAGAGGGGGAAGAAAGGAGACATTGTTTGGTTGAGACTGATTCATTAATTTAATGATGTCTCCCAAATCTGTTGTTCTCGTGGCCAAACTACTTTAAGCATAGCCGTTGCCGTTGAGTCGATCCCGACTCATAGCGACCCTGTAGGACAGAGCAGAACTGCCCCATAAAGTTTCCAAGGAGCAGCTGGTGGATTCAAACTGCTGACCTTTTGGTTAGCAGCCTGGGCTCTTAACCACTACAGGGCTCAGCTTTAAGAATAATGCCTGAGTAATTAATGTATGCACCTGCTCCCGATTATTTATTAATGTATTTACTTAGTGTTGATCCCAAACAAAGAATGGTGAAAATACTAAAACACTGTGGGGAAACCATCATTTACTTTTACTGTTTTCCAAGTGCGTAATATTACTACTCAAACACTGTGTTAAGTCTATCCCTATTACTGACATACACCAAAATTAGAAAGTATTAGAAGGGCAGGTCTGTTTCTATGGGATAGACATGGGGTTTGAAATCTAAACATAAAGATTTAAGTTCTAGGCCCCTTTGCTGGGAGACCTTAAGCAAATCATTTTTGCTGTCTATATCTTAACAATATCATTTACAAAATAGTGAGTGTTAGGTAAAAATGCCTATCCTCACAGGCTCAAATACAACAGCGCATTTAAAAACTCTTTGCGAATATCGAGCATTATACCAGTGCTAGGTTCTATCAACTTCTTTCCCTTTAAAAATACCCACTTCCTCTTGAGGGCACCTTTTAGCTAAGTAACAAATTGGCTCATAAAATAAAGAGTATTACCAGTGAGTACTGCACACTTTTAAAAAAATAATCTATATGAGACCAAATGGTCAACAATTCTCTGAAGCAAAGATGAAAGCGGATAGGAAAACCAAATTACTGGAAGCAAAACATCCAGAAGGGAATTAATGAGAATGTTAACACATTATGAAAAATGCAACCAGTCTCTGAACAATTTATGTAGTAATTGTTAAATGGGAACCTAATTTATTGTGTAAACCAGGGCTTCGAACCATTTCGAACTGGTTCAGCCATGGCTAACAAAGCGAAATTGGAACAGCCCCAAATTTTTAAAATTTGGGTGAAGTGGAATGATAAGCAGAACAGGAGAATTACAGGTCGAAGCCCCGGAACTGGAGACAGAGAAAAGGCGTAGTGAGCCCTTTTAGGACCCTGATGCAGCAGATTGGATTATTCCCAGGACTGTGGAGAATGACACACATTCAAAGAGGTCCAGTCGGCCGCCATCTTTGAGTGGGGCACCACTGTTTCCGACTCTGCCAGTCAAGAGATTTGGTTGCTATGCAATGCGCAAGCTGCCCTTGTTTTCTAAGAGGGAGATTAAGTTTCTAGCAGGGCTTTGACTAGTAAATTTTCCTGTTCTGCTTCACCCACATATAAAAAAAAAAAAAAATTTATTGTACTTTAGATGAAAGTTTACAGAGGAAACTAGTTTCTCATTAAACAATTAATACACACATTGTTTTGTGACACTGGTTGCCAACCCCACGACGTCAATACTCTCCTCTTCTTGACCCTGGGTTCCCCATTACCAGCTTTCCTGTCCCCTCCTGCCTTCTCATCCTTGCCACTGAGCTGGTGTGCCCATTTAGTCTCGTTTTGTTTTATGGGCCTGTCTAATCTTTGGCTGAATGGTGAACCTCAGGAATAACTTCATTACTTAGCTATCAGGGTGTCCGGGGGCCAGACTCTCAGGGCTTCTCCAGTCTCTGTCAGGCCGGTAAGTCTGTTTTTTTGTGAGTTAGAATTTTGTCCTACATTTTTCTCCGGCTCTGTCTGGACCCTCTATTGTGATCCCTGTCAGAGCAGTCGGTGGTGGTAGCCGGGCATCATCTAATTGTACTGGGCTCAGGCTGTGCTTCACCCACATTTTAAAAACTCAGGTCTGTTAGGTTTCACTTCATCGGCTGTGACTGAACTGGACAGAACTGGTTTGAAGCCGTCATGTAAACTTTCACCGAAAATGCAATAAAATATTATTTAAAAAAAAAAAAAAACACTTCCTTCATAGTCACATGCAAAAACAAATGGAATGTGGACTGTGATAGGGAGAGTGGTCATTTACTCAATAAACAGTCATTGTTGTCATAAATCTTAATACTTTCCACTCCCCAACCTACATTATTATGGTGTTCTCTGTACACAGAAGACCATACAACCACTGTTTCTTCTTTCCCATTTCAACAAATTTGTCCTTGTTGATTCTGGGCACATCTTGTGCAAAATAAGCAGTTCTCATCCACGGTTGAGGTCAAAATAATCGAGGTCACACTAGCAGGTCATAATCAGTTTTCAAGTAGGCCACAAGTAATTTGCAGGACAATTTAGCACTAAATAATGTAGACATCGCCTGTGCTTTTTTTTTTTCCCTGCTGCAGCAGACTCCCCAGCCAAAGCATGAGAGGAATTTCCTCCACCCAGACCATTAGATCTGGGCTCTTTTTACCTCCAAAAGGATGAGCAACCTTTTTGCATTGCCAAATGAGAGGGCAGCAGCTGTCAGGTGAGCCCACCCTGAAGCTAACCCGGTCACAGGCTCTCAAAGATCAGATATATTGCCCAGACACAGGGTGCCCACTCAGGAATCTCATTCAGCATTTAGTCTCACCCACAATTGTGTCTTGTTGGTCCCTCATAGTGTTTGTTTTAATTGACCAACATTTAAAAATGAGGAAATTTTTACATAAACATCCAGACTATGGCTTCTCTGGAACTATCTGAAGATGTGATAACACCATGTCGGGAAGGTCATCTGGCAATGGCAGGCTGAGGCCCAGTTGAGGCTACCCCTTTGAGAAGGGATAAATGTTCCCTTATTTGCCACGGTCCTCGCTACCTCCTATTTTTCTTAGCTGACAGGCATATGAGTTTGTGATCCCTGACCTGGGGCCACCAGAGGGAAAGCGCTGAAGAGAGTGAGGCTTGGTGCTTCAAGAACTGAAGGAACGCAAATGTTCATCGGCTAATGAAAGGATAAACAAAATGTGGTATGTCCTGTCCACACAACATAATATTATTTGGCGATAAAAAGGAACAAACTACTTATACATGCTACAACGGGGATAAATCTTAAAAACACGATGCTAAATGAAAAGTGAGTCACAGAAGATCACATATTGTGTGATTCCATTCATACAAAATGTCCAGACTAGGCAAATTCATAAAGACAGAGAGGAGATTAGTAGATGCCAGGGAGTGGAGGTTGGAGTTGGAGTAAAATGGCAGTTGTTCAGAGTTTCTTTT